ACAGCTTCCAGTGAGCATAACTGCTTCCAGTGAGCATAACAGCTTCCAGTGAGCATAAGAGCTTCCAGTGAGCATAACAGCTTCCAGTGAGCATAACAGCTTCCAGTGAGCATAACAGCTTCCAGTGAGCATAACAGCTTCCAGTGAGCATAACAGCTTCCAGTGAGCATAGCAGCTTCCAGTGAGCATAACAGCTTCCAGTGAGCATAACAGCTTCCAGTGAGCATAACAGCTTCCAGTGAGCATAACAGCTTTCAGTGAGCATAACAGCTTCCAGTGAGCATAGCAGCTTCCAGTGAGCATAGCAGCTTCTAGTGAGCATAACAGCTTCCAGTGAGCATAACAGCTTCCAGTGAGCATAGCAGCTTCCAGTGAGCATAACAGCTTTCAGTGAGCATAACAGCTTCCAGTGAGCATAGCAGCTTCCAGTGAGCATAACAGCTTCCAGTGAGCATAACAGCTTCCAGTGAGCATAACAGCTTCCAGTGAGCATAGCAGCTTCCAGTGAGCATAACAGCTTCCAGTGAGCATAACAGCTTCCAGTGAGCATAACAGCTTCCAGTGAGCATAACAGCTTCCAGTGAGCATAACTGCTTCCAGTGAGCATAACAGCTTCCAGTGAGCATAAGAGCTTCCAGTGAGCATAACAGCTTCCAGTGAGCATAACAGCTTCCAGTGAGCATAACAGCTTCCAGTGAGCATAACAGCTTCCAGTGAGCATAACAGCTTCCAGTGAGCATAGCAGCTTCCAGTGAGCATAACAGCTTCCAGTGAGCATAACAGCTTCCAGTGAGCATAACAGCTTCCAGTGAGCATAACAGCTTCCAGTGAGCATAGCAGCTTCCAGTGAGCATAACAGCTTCCAGTGAGCATAACAGCTTCCAGTGAGCATAACAGCTTCCAGTGAGCATAACAGCTTCCAATGAGTATAGCAGCTTCTAGTGAGCATAACAGCTTCCAGTGAGCATAACAGCTTCCAGTGAGCATAACAGCTTCCAGTGAGCATAACAGCTTCCAGTGAGCATAACAGCTTCCAGTGAGCATAACAGCTTCCAGTGAGCATAACAGCTTCTAGTGAGCATAACAGCTTCCAGTGAGCATAACAGCTTCCAGTGAGCATAACAGCTTCCAGTGAGCATAACAGCTTCCGGTGAGCATAGCAGCTTCTAGTGAGCATAACAGCTTCCAGTGAGCATAACAGCTTCCAGTGAGCATAACAGCTTCCAGTGAGCATAACAGCTTCCAGTGAGCATAACAGCTTCCAGTGAGCATAACAGCTTTCAGTGAGCATAACAGCTTCCAGTGAGCATAGCAGCTTCCAGTGAGCATAGCAGCTTCTAGTGAGCATAACAGCTTCCAGTGAGCATAACAGCTTCCAGTGAGCATAGCAGCTTCCAGTGAGCATAACAGCTTTCAGTGAGCATAACAGCTTCCAGTGAGCATAGCAGCTTCCAGTGAGCATAACAGCTTCCAGTGAGCATAGCAGCTTCTAGTGAGCATAACAGCTTCCAGTGAGCATAACAGCTTCCAGTGAGCATAACAGCTTCCAGTGAGCATAACAGCTTCCAGTGAGCATAACAGCTTCCAGTGAGCATAACAGCTTCTAGTGAGCATAACAGCTTCCAGTGAGCATAACAGCTTCCAGTGAGCATAACAGCTTCCAGTGAGCATAACAGCTTCCGGTGAGGATAGCAGCTTCCAGTGAGCATAACAGCTTCCAGTGAGCATAACAGCTTCCAGTGAGCATAACAGCTTCCAGTGAGCATAACAGCTTCCAGTGAGCATAACAGCTTCCAGTGAGCATAACAGCTTCCAGTGAGCATAGCAGCTTCCAGTGAGCATAACAGCTTCCAGTGAGCATAACAGCTTCCAGTGAGCATAACAGCTTCCAGTGAGCATAACAGCTTCCAGTGAGCATAGCAGCTTCTAGTGAGCATAACAGCTTCCAGTGAGCATAACAGCTTCCAGTGAGCATAACAGCTTCCAGTGAGCATAACAGCTTCCAGTGAGCATAACAGCTTCCAGTGAGCATAACAGCTTCCAGTGAGCATAACAGCTTCTAGTGAGCATAACAGCTTCCAGTGAGCATAACAGCTTCCAGTGAGCATAACAGCTTCCAGTGAGCATAACAGCTTCCGGTGAGCATAGCAGCTTCTAGTGAGCATAACAGCTTCCAGTGAGCATAGCAGCTTCCAGTGAGCATAACAGCTTCCAGTGAGCATAGCAGCTTCCAGTGAGCATAACAGCTTCCAGTGAGCATAACAGCTTCCAGTGAGCATAACAGCTTCCAGTGAGCATAGCAGCTTCCAGTGAGCATAACAGCTTCCAGTGAGCATAACAGCTTCCAGTGAGCATAACAGCTTCCAGTGAGCATAACAGCTTCCAGTGAGCATAACTGCTTCCAGTGAGCATAACAGCTTCCAGTGAGCATAAGAGCTTCCAGTGAGCATAACAGCTTCCAGTGAGCATAACAGCTTCCAGTGAGCATAACAGCTTCCAGTGAGCATAACAGCTTCCAGTGAGCATAACAGCTTCCAGTGAGCATAGCAGCTTCCAGTGAGCATAACAGCTTCCAGTGAGCATAACAGCTTCCAGTGAGCATAACAGCTTCCAGTGAGCATAACAGCTTCCAGTGAGCATAGCAGCTTCTAGTGAGCATAACAGCTTCCAGTGAGCATAACAGCTTCCAGTGAGCATAACAGCTTCCAGTGAGCATAACAGCTTCCAGTGAGCATAACAGCTTCCAGTGAGCATAACAGCTTCCAGTGAGCATAACAGCTTCTAGTGAGCATAACAGCTTCCAGTGAGCATAACAGCTTCCAGTGAGCATAACAGCTTCCAGTGAGCATAACAGCTTCCGGTGAGGATAGCAGCTTCCAGTGAGCATAACAGCTTCCAGTGAGCATAACAGCTTCCAGTGAGCATAACAGCTTCCAGTGAGCATAACAGCTTCCAGTGAGCATAACAGCTTCCAGTGAGCATAACAGCTTCCAGTGAGCATAGCAGCTTCCAGTGAGCATAACAGCTTCCAGTGAGCATAACAGCTTCCAGTGAGCATAACAGCTTCCAGTGAGCATAACAGCTTCCAATGAGTATAGCAGCTTCTAGTGAGCATAACAGCTTCCAGTGAGCATAACAGCTTCCAGTGAGCATAACAGCTTCCAGTGAGCATAACAGCTTCCAGTGAGCATAACAGCTTCCAGTGAGCATAACAGCTTCCAGTGAGCATAACAGCTTCTAGTGAGCATAACAGCTTCCAGTGAGCATAACAGCTTCCAGTGAGCATAACAGCTTCCAGTGAGCATAACAGCTTCCGGTGAGCATAGCAGCTTCTAGTGAGCATAACAGCTTCCAGTGAGCATAACAGCTTCCAGTGAGCATAACAGCTTCCAGTGAGCATAACAGCTTCCAGTGAGCATAACAGCTTCCAGTGAGCATAACAGCTTTCAGTGAGCATAACAGCTTCCAGTGAGCATAGCAGCTTCCAGTGAGCATAGCAGCTTCTAGTGAGCATAACAGCTTCCAGTGAGCATAACAGCTTCCAGTGAGCATAGCAGCTTCCAGTGAGCATAACAGCTTTCAGTGAGCATAACAGCTTCCAGTGAGCATAGCAGCTTCCAGTGAGCATAACAGCTTCCAGTGAGCATAACAGCTTCCAGTGAGCATAACAGCTTCCAGTGAGCATAGCAGCTTCCAGTGAGCATAACAGCTTCCAGTGAGCATAACAGCTTCCAGTGAGCATAACAGCTTCCAGTGAGCATAACAGCTTCCAGTGAGCATAACTGCTTCCAGTGAGCATAACAGCTTCCAGTGAGCATAAGAGCTTCCAGTGAGCATAACAGCTTCCAGTGAGCATAACAGCTTCCAGTGAGCATAACAGCTTCCAGTGAGCATAACAGCTTCCAGTGAGCATAACAGCTTCCAGTGAGCATAGCAGCTTCCAGTGAGCATAACAGCTTCCAGTGAGCATAACAGCTTCCAGTGAGCATAACAGCTTCCAGTGAGCATAACAGCTTCCAGTGAGCATAGCAGCTTCTAGTGAGCATAACAGCTTCCAGTGAGCATAACAGCTTCCAGTGAGCATAACAGCTTCCAGTGAGCATAACAGCTTCCAGTGAGCATAACAGCTTCCAGTGAGCATAACAGCTTCCAGTGAGCATAACAGCTTCTAGTGAGCATAACAGCTTCCAGTGAGCATAACAGCTTCCAGTGAGCATAACAGCTTCCAGTGAGCATAACAGCTTCCGGTGAGGATAGCAGCTTCCAGTGAGCATAACAGCTTCCAGTGAGCATAACAGCTTCCAGTGAGCATAACAGCTTCCAGTGAGCATAACAGCTTCCAGTGAGCATAACAGCTTCCAGTGAGCATAACAGCTTCCAGTGAGCATAGCAGCTTCCAGTGAGCATAACAGCTTCCAGTGAGCATAACAGCTTCCAGTGAGCATAACAGCTTCCAATGAGCATAACAGCTTCCAGTGAGCATAGCAGCTTCTAGTGAGCATAACAGCTTCCAGTGAGCATAACAGCTTCCAGTGAGCATAACAGCTTCCAGTGAGCATAACAGCTTCCAGTGAGCATAACAGCTTCCAGTGAGCATAACAGCTTCCAGTGAGCATAACAGCTTCTAGTGAGCATAACAGCTTCCAGTGAGCATAACAGCTTCCAGTGAGCATAACAGCTTCCAGTGAGCATAACAGCTTCCGGTGAGCATAGCAGCTTCTAGTGAGCATAACAGCTTCCAGTGAGCATAACAGCTTCCAGTGAGCATAACAGCTTCCAGTGAGCATAACAGCTTCCAGTGAGCATAACAGCTTCCAGTGAGCATAACAGCTTCCAGGGAGCTTCCCACGCCCTGCTGCCCCAGCGCAAGCGCTCAGCCGCTCTGCACCGCTTCAAAGCGTCCCAAGTGCCCGTTCTAGTGGCCACTGACGTTGCCAGTAGAGGGCTGGATATTCCTACCGTGGATTTAGTCCTTAACCACGATATACCCAGGTGAGAAAATGGGCACACTGCTGGTTTATTATCACAGTATCGTGGTGGCCACAGACATCGCCAGCAGAGGGCTGGACATTCCCACTGTTGATAAGGTGATCAACTACGACATCCCCACGTGAGCACTGTGCTGGTCTGAGTTGCCTTGGTCTTTCAATCTCCTCTCCAACATGGTCATTCAATACCCTGTAACACAACCCCAGGGGGTTGGTGTAGCACAACCCGCGGGCTCACTCTGGTCTATGTACACAGGGTGGGGTGAACAGCCCAAGAAGGGAGGGTCTTCATGCGATGCTTCAAGAAACTCCCTACACCCGGTCATTCCCTACCCTGTCCCACCTCCCCCCCACCCCATCTCCAGGTTCACGCGGGACTGTGTGCACAGGGTGGGGCGAACAGCCCGAGCAGGGAGTTCCTTTTTAGGGTCCCTGAAAACACTCTGCACCCCCCACCCTATCGTATCTGCCCATCTCCAGGTTCACGCAGGACTGTGTGCACAGGGTGGGACGAACAGCCCGAGCAGGGAGGGGCGGACTCGGGAGATGCCAAAAGAAGCCCTGTACCCCTCTCACGCTACCCTGTCACCCCACCAACCAACCCACCCCATCTCCAGGTTCACGCGGGACTATGTGCACCGGGTGGGACGAACAGCCCGAGCAGGGAGGGGCGGACGAGCCATCAGCCTGGTGACTCAGGTGGGTGTGACTATAACGAATGGCAAGGGTGCTGTTAGTATTTTCTGGGTGGGAGCGGCGACTTAGATGAGTGTGAATGCTGTTGTGCGCAACAATTGAGCTGCAAGTGGTAGTTGGGCAGCTGCAAGTGGTAGTTGGGCAGCTGCAAGTGGTAGTTGGGCAGCTGCAAGTGTTAGTTGGGCAGCTGCAAGTGGTAGTTGGGCCGACAGCATCCACAAAAGAAGCATTAGGCCGTTTGAACCGTGCCTGCTTTTTTACCACTTCTCGTTTTCGAATCCCTCCTTGCCTCCGTCCGCCCGTCCCTCCCTCTCTCTCATCCTCATGGCAGTACGACGTGCATCTGGTGCACAGCATCGAGAAGCTCATCGGCCTCTCTTGTGTCCCATGCCCCTTCATGCATGCTGCCTCCCTATATCCTCCTTCCCCCCTCCCCCCTCCCCCCTCCTCCCATTCCCATGCCAGTACGACGTGCATCTGGTGCACAGCATTGAGAAGCTCATTGGTCGACAGCTGGCGGAGTGCACTGATGTGACTGAAGGCGATGTGCTTAAATGCATCAGCAAGGTGAGTGAAAGGAGTGTAGCTGCTTTCTCTTATAGGCCTGGGCAAGGGGAGGGAGCCATTACATTGTGTCAATCGTCTCTACTCCCTGCGTGTGCCTGTCTGTTTGTGAGAGAACACGAGGCTGCTTTCTCTTATAGGCCTGGGCAAGGGGAGGGAGCCATTACATTGTGCCTGTCTGCGTGTGCCTGGCTGTTTGTGTGCACCTGCTTGCGTGCCTTTTCTCTTGCTTATGTTGATGTTCCAAACACAAATGCATTCGTTTTTCGTTTTTTTTTTTTTTTTTTTTTTTTTTTTTTTTTTTTTTTTTTTTTTTTTTTTTTTTTTTTTTTTTTTTTTTTTTTTTTTTTTTTTTTTTTATGTCACTTGTTGACCTCTCCCTCCAGCTGTTCAAGTGCCGTACAGCAGTTCTGGTGGTACATGTTTAACCATAATACTCTCGCCTTCTTTTGCAGTGTCAAATTCTCCCCCTCTTTATCTCCTCTCCTTCCCCAGGTGCTCAAGGCACGCAGGGCAGCGCCACTGAAGTTGGCAAGAACTGAAATTGCCACAATAGCAATCGCCCTCCTTTTCCTGCTTTTTTCCCTTCCCTTACTCTCCTTCTCCAGGTGTTCAAGGCGAGGAGAGCAGCACTACTGAAGGTCTCAGAGAGTGGGTTTGAGGAACGGGCGAAGCAGAGGGCAGAGCAGAAGAGGAAGATTCGGGAGGAGCGAAGAGAACGAGAGGGGGGTGAGAAAGGGAAGAAAGGCAAGTGAGGATAGGTGCATGAGGGGAGATGATACTTGCAGAAGGTGGCAGAGAGGCGAGAGTGGAATGGATGAGAGGCGAGAGTGGAATGGATGAGAGGCGAGAGTGGAATGGATGAGAGGCGAGAGTGGAATGGATGAGAGGGGCCAAGCGAGTTGACTTTTGAGTCGACTCAAAAGAGTGGAATGGATGAGAGGGGCCAAGCCAAGCAGACAAGACTTGGATCTGGGAGCAGCGGAGGGGGCGAGAGGGGAGCGAGAAATGCGAGCTAGGGGAGGTGTTGGATTGGATGGCGCCGGCGAGCCGATCACTGCTAAGGCGGGGGGGGGGGGGGGGGGGGGGGTGGGGAGTCGAGGAGGGGAGCAGCAGAGCGCTGAGACGAAGAACAGATTGGAAGAGGGGGGGTAAGGGAAACGTTGAAAACCATCAAAATTGCATAGTCAGTTTGATGTGTGGTTTGAGGTCGTTTGCCTTGCCGGCCTCAATCAGCGAGGTAGCCTGGCAGGGCTGTGATGTGCTGGTTTCCCGTCAAAATACGGTACGGTACCATCAGTTCTTATATATATTGTATGTACTTTTGTCATACATCGATTGACAGTATTCTGAGGAAACTTCATCAAGCCTGGAAGGTCCTCTGCTGCAAATATCACAGGCGTTTTCATACGTGATTCATAACTCAGTTTGTAACACATTTCAAAAGGGTGCTTGGTGTCGCCCTCCCAAGCACATCCAGACAGACACTGCAATCCAGTGCACCAAGATCGCCGCCCAGGCCGACCCAGATCTCCGGTACACAAAAAGACACGCCGAACCGAGCACGACACAGCAGAGCAAAAACCCCGGATGCGAAAATAACCTCAAAGCAGCAGGTCGGTTTAACCACGCTAGAAAGGGATGCGCTAAGACATATAAGGATGTTGAAACAATGCCATAAAACACTTTCGGATCCGCGAGCCAATCCCGAGGGAGCGGGAAGGAGCGCAGAAACGGGACGGAGGAGACGAAAGGAGCGAGGAGGGAGGAGGCGCGAGAGAGGAGGGAAGTGATGCGAGTGTGAAGCCATGTGGGTAGAGGAGAGGGGGGCTCTGCAGGATGCGGGTTAAGGAGAACCCTCCAGAAAAGCTCTTCCCAGAAGGAGGGGAAGACGAATACAAAGAGGATGAGGGGGATGGGGAAACCGGCTTGGGGGAGATAGAAGGCGTCAGCCCAGGAGGCGAAGAGGTACATGAGAGGCGAGATGGCGATGATGGTGAGCAGCGTGAATCGCAGGTCGGAGGGCGTGGGAAGGGTTGTGAGGGCGCGGGATAGGCGGAGGAGGAGGAGGGAGAGGAGGGAGAGGGGAGGGGTTGGGTGGGGAGAGGAGGCAGAGCCGTTGATGGTGCCTGAGGGGAAGGGGAAAGAGAGGAATTGGCAAACGGAATAAGGGGGAGGGGGAAAAGTAAAAGAAGAGAAACAATAGGAGGGATGAAAAGCAGGCTTCCAGCCGGCTTGGGTACAGTAGAAGGCGTGTGCCCTGGAGAGTATTTGAGATGTCTCAAAAACTCACTCACTTCACATGGGCCCAGGAGAGGAGAGGAGGCAAAGAGGTACATGCGAGGGGAGATTGTGATGATGGTGAGGAACGAGGGGAGGAGGAGGAGGAGAAGGGCGGGGGTTGTTGATTTAAGGGCGCGGCGCCTCATGAAAGGCATGTGCCCAACAGGCGAAGAGATACATGTGATGTGACAGCAAGCAAGAGACAGCATTAGTGCATGCATGTGACCATGTGTCTCTCATGCGGCTCATGGTTCCCCTAGTTATTAGTGAGATGTGAGCACGAGGTACGATCAATATCATTCAAAAAGGCCATGTCAATCCAATGTGACGTGGTAACTCAAGGTGACATGTCAGCCCATATGGAAGTTTCTGAAGAAGGCTGCCACAGCAACAGAGGGTCGAGAGGAGCAGCTAAGAGAGAGAAAGAGGTTAAGTGGTTGAGAAAGGGATGGGTAACGGTACTAACCGAAGCTGCTGCTGCCGTTATGAGCGCCATTCGGCTCCGTCCCCTCTAAAAGTGGCCCTGCTTCCGCTTCTGTGCCTTGAGGTAACGAATCCGCCACCTCGCCGGCCGTCTGATCCGCGTCCCCGTTTCTGACCTCTCCCTCCCTGGGCTGGCCGTCAGATCGGTGCTCTTGACGTTGCGGTTGGCCGTCCATTTGACCTGCTAGCCGCTTATGGGTGTGCTGTGACTGGACACGATGGGGAATTCGGGCCAATTCCAAACTGCCAGCTGGCGATGCGGTTCCGGGAAGAAATGTCGGATGACAACGGTTTGGATGGATAACGAACGGTTCAAAATGGCTGACGCTGAACCTGGAAGCGAAGATGTTGGAAGATCCGTCAGAAGAGGAGGATAAATGATTACGCGAGGACGCGCGGACGCTCGTAGTAGACGTATTTCCTGTGCGCGCGCGCGACGAGTCTAGAGTAGACTCAAAATATGTATCCCTTATGCGTGTGTGCGACGGGATAACGGTCGCAAACCTCGCTTGTGCGTGCGACGGGATCGCGGTCGGATATCTACTCGCGGGATAGTAACTCCGCGACGTGCTTTCTGCTTGGAATGTGCCTCTGGCCGGCAATATGTCAGTTGCGGAAGGTTCTCGGAGGTTTCGGGTGGGTTGAGGCGGCAATACGGTCGTCGGGTTACGAAAGAATCTCGTGCATTGCTGCGAAGCGCCGGTATCCGCGAAGCGAGGCGGTCGTACGCGGTGCAAGCGAAAGGCTCGCATTACCTTTGTGGGCCGTGACTAGGAGGCTCACGCGGATGCTAGTACCGAATGGAGTGCGTGGCAGAACTCACAAGAAAAACGTCCATTCCACTCTCCAGTGGGAACGGACGCTTCTGGGGCAGCTCCAGGATGGACTGGCTGGGATCATACGCGATAGAATCAGGGTGATGGATAAAAGAAACAATCAGAAAAGTTCAGGTTTGGTACGTATGTCAGTCAATTAGGGCGGATGGGTCATGCCTACGCTTTAAGTTCACTGAACCAAGAGTGAACGAAGTCTAACAGAATCCACCCCTTAGACGAAATCCATCCCTCAGCTCATTTCCCTGCCACGTGGCCTCGTCTTTCCCTTGATTCCTCCGCCTCTTGCGCGTTTCTCCATGCATACGAGCCGGTTCCCCCAACCTCGCGCAGCCCTCCTCGCAACCATGCCTCTTCGCTGCTTCCGAGCATCCCTGCTCGCAATAGTAGGTCACGCGCAGTTTGTTTCGGTGGAGCCGGGATGGAGAGTGGCTGTTAGCGCGAGGGGGGAAGGAAAGGAGAGCGACGAAGGCGGTGTGGGGAAAGAGGGAGGGGGCGAGCGAGAGTGGGGGGAGCACGCCGTAGGCTCCATCAGAAGCCGCGGCTGGAAAACATCTTCCGCCTTTCCGCGGAATCGCTGCGCCAGTTCGGGCCCGCACACGAGCGTGCGCTTTGCGCGCACAGAGAGCTTTGCGCGCTAGCAGCAGCATGTTTCCGGAGGTGTAAATTCGGACTCGCCAGTCTGCTCAGTCAGCCGCAGCCGGGCGTTTACACCTCCATAGCACAACAATCGGAACGACAACGGCCTAAGAAAATCGTTCCTGAAGCCCTTCAGTTATGCACTGTTTCTCTCGAATCTGCCCTTACCGAAATTCTTCCGAAGCGCTGCAATTTCCTTCGTAACTTTCTCGTCTGAGCCGGGGCGATGGTGGCGAGGGTGGGGCTGCTGGCAAGGCTGGTTGTGACGGCGGTTGCGCTGCTTGCAGCTGCCACTGCGGCTTCCGCGTATGGGAGTCGGTACAGGGACGACTACAGTGACTACCAAGTGCGTGTAACTAGCATTTAAGTTTCCAGATGTCGTTTTCTCGTCGCTTCGTTCCTGTTTCTCCTACTAACTGCCTGCCAGCCGGTTCATTTCCATCGGTTCCTGCCTTGTAACAAGCATCCGGCGTTGATGCGAATGAGGACCTAGGGGTCCCTCCTGCTTTTTTTCGTTGTTCTCCTTCCTTCAGAGGTATGGACGAGCGTGGAGCAACCAAGCGAAGGCGGAAGAGGCCAGAGTAACACAGCAGCAGGTAACGGCAAGTCCAGGGGGCAAGGCCTCCGATCCGAGCAGCACAGCAGATGCCGTTTAGGGTTTGGAGTTCGTTGGCTTAATCAGTCCCTCGCTCTGGATTCTCTGTGTGCATTCATTGTTTTTTGTTTGTTTTTTTTTTTTATGACTCTTTATCCAGACCACCACATGTTTAGGACATGAGGCAGCTGCTACAGACAAGGGGGAGGCAACCGCTCAGTCCAAATTGCCGTTCAACATTTCATCATATATCTCTCACCTGCCGGCTGCTCTTAGTGAGCTCCTGCCGTCAGCCGTCAACACTTACATCGTGGTGAGTTCATTTGTAGTGTATTCTTTTTGAAACCAAGGCATGATGTGTCAAAATCCAGTGTCCACTTTTTCTCTCCAGATTTGTTGTACGATTATATTTTGAGCTTACAGATTCAAGTCAATCCGTGTCTTCTTCTTTCACACTTATCTCTTCTAATTCATCCATCCCATCTCCCCATGTTGTCCCCTATGCAACGCAACCCCTTGCTCTTCCCTTCCCTCCTAACCTCTTCAGCTCATCCACATGTTATGGCATGGAGCGCTCCAGTTCTTGTCCTCTGATCCTCTTGACCCTCTTCCGTCTATGTCCCCATTCATCACCTCTGCCTTTTCCTCCACCCACCCTTCACCTCCTTCGCTACCCTTTCCCCCCCTTCCCCTCATAACCCATCAGCTCATTCACGTGTATCTCGCATGGAGCACTCTGGTCCTTGTCCTCTTGTTTCTCTTTCTCCTATCCGCTCATTCCTCACCTCTGCCTGTTCCTGCACTCTTCACCTCTATCTCCACCCCATATCCTTGCAGCTCATTCACGTGTATCTGGCATGGAGCACACTAGTTCTTGTCCTCTGGTCACTGGGCGTGTCCCAGGCGCGGATCATGCACTGCCTGCACCAGCAGGTCTTGGCAACCAGAACCGCCCTTCTCAAGCTGAAGAAACATACCCTTGATTTCACTTTAAGCTAGATGGTCAATCCCCACTCGTCCCTCTTCGCTCCTTCACACCACTCCTCTCTCGTCCTTTTTATACGGACAACCTGTCAGCTTATCCACATGCCATGTATCTCGCATGTAACACCTTGGTTCTTATTCTTTTGTCGTTGTTTGGGTTTCAGGCAAACATCATGCGCTGGCTGCATCGCCATCTATTGGCAACCAGGACCACCTCGCTCAAGCTAAAGCAGAACGCCCTTGCATTCTTGGTATTACCAAATATACACGGTTTTTAATTAGTTTCTGAAAATGTGAAATACGATGGGCGGTTTTTGCCATTTCTTCATTTTTAGCTTATTACAGCTCATGGTGTGTCACAGGCCAGTCAGTGCACCTCCATTTGCCAAGCTACCAGGTACTTCATTAGCACTATCGGTCGCAATTAAGTGTTTTTTCTTTGTCTTTGGCACACATCAATATTTTGAATTGTTGAATTGCTTGCCATTATTTTTGGAATCTATACTTGGCTGATCATGCTTCTTGCTGCTGCCAAACTTTCTTTTGCTGCATCCCCTTCAGCTTCTTGAAACTTAATATCTGAGTATGCTTTCCTGGCAGGGAAATGTTTCCTGCTAAACCCGTCTCGAGAGGCTCAACGCCAGAAAACGCAGAGCTCCATGGATTGTCCTGCAGGATTGTCAATCTGACGGCTGAGATGAACTCAAAGATGAACAGCATGATGCTGCTGCTGCGGGCAGTAAAGTGGGAAGTTGAGGCCGGTAGTAGGGTAAAGCAGGAGCAGAGAGAGTCAAACGAGGGTGCCGAGCTCAAGGGTGGACTAGATGAGTTGGTTACACCAGGCATGGGGGAGACGGGGGTACAGGCTCCAGGCATGAGGGAGAGGGGGGTACAGGCAGAGGTGCGGGATGAAGGGAGGCATCGGGATGAGTTGTCTGAGTCGGGAAGGCGTTTTCTGGAAGAGGTGGTGGAGGAGTATAGTCGGGAGATGGAACAGATGGGGAAGCGGAAGAAGATGGGGGAAAGGGAGGAGACGGAGGAGGTGGAGAGTACGAAGGGTGACGTGGAGAGGTTGAGGAATGTGGTGGCAGAAAGGGCGGAAGTAGAGGAGGAAAGGGAAATTTCCATCAATAGCCTGAGGAAGGAGGTGGAAGGTCTCAAGTGCGACAGCAGATATGGAATGAAGTGCCTGGACGAGCTGAGGGCTGAGATGAAGGCAGAAATGGCTGTGCTGGTGGCGCAGAGGGAGAGGATATTTTTTGGCAAGTTGGATGAGTTGAGGGTTGAGATGGAAGAGGGAAGGGCGGAGGAGGTAGGGAGGATGAGGGAGTTGAGAGAGGTGGAAAATGAGAAGGCAGAGGTGGCAGAGAGGTTGAGTGAGATGCAGCATCGGGTGGAGGAGGGGAGGATGGAGGCAAGCACCCGTGCGGCCAGTGCATTGGAGGACCGGGAGAGGGTGGATGGATTGAGCGTTCGGCTGGATGGATGGAGCGTTCGGCTGGAGAACTTCCGGGAAGTTACCATGAGGGTTGAGGGGGAAATCCGAGCTCTGTGGGAGGTGAGCATTCGATTTGGCACTTTTCGCAGTAAATACTTTGTGCAACATTTTCGCCAGTGTCCCTTTTCCATGAACCCATCCCCAATTTTACCACTCAGAAATGCATCATCTCCTGTTTCAACAATCACAGTTGTTACCAGTCAACATCAGTGGTGTCATGTGCATGTGATTCGTGCCATCGGCAATCTTTTCCCTCTCCGCACCTGCAGTTTGTCTCAAGTCCTCCAGGATGGACCGTCTCATTCTGCCTTGTGTTTTCCTCTCTTCAGGCATTTCACAGTGTTGGGCTGTGAGGGAAGCGTTGTAAATACAAGTATCAGCATCAATCCTCATCATCAATCTGCGTCATGTGGCTTGAACCTGCGCAACAGTCATGTCTTGGATTGGAGTCAGTGGCATCTGACTGGGATTTTGTCCTGAGATTTTATTTTTTGATACATGACAATGTTCTTAGAGCGTGTTCCTACGGGGCCCCTATCAGACCACCTCTAGTCAGACTCGCCCCAATCACGTATTTCTCAGTGTAAGGCGAATTCGTATTGGGCACTTTTGTGGTCTTGCAACGTGCGTGAAAATATATAGCATGGGTGATGTGCCACGTGGATCGCGAACAGCTTTTTTGTACTGCCCGAACATCGGGGCAAGGGAGTTCAGTTTGAGAAGAACCGCCATGAACCGAATTACATTCTGGCATTCCATCGAATCGTGAACAAATTGCTAGTGACACTGTACTTTTTCGGCCAGCTGAAAAAAAAACTGTAGCCCCACTCTCGACAAAATTGACCTGTTCAGCGCAGGTCCTCGGTGTGGCTTGCTGATGTGGCACGATTGAGAGGTTTCGCGCGCACCTCCACATTTCGCACAACACAAGTCTGAAATTCGAGTTCTATATCGAAATCCTGAGTTTGACCAAAACTGATATGAGGTAGGCCTGACATAGCCCGTAGGAACATGCTATTAGAGAGGACTTTGCCATTGGAAAGCTTACCCTGGACTACATACCGGTACCGTAAGTGTAAAGATGGGGGTCCTATTACCTTTAACACCTATCGGTGATAGAAGACCTATACTGATGGGCTGTATATGCTGAGGGTGACGGTATGTACCGTATGATGCAGAACTCTGTGCAAGCTACTTTTAGGGAGTGAAGTGAAGGTATGTATGATGTGTACAGGTACCATATCACAGAACTGTTCAAGCTAGCGTATACTGAATGAAGGAGAAATGACACAGCTTCAAACCATATTACGGCAATATGACAGCCTCTAGATCCTACCTCGCGCTTTACCTTGAAACTTGGCTCGCAACGGCTTTTCAGGGTCACAATTCCCTGACTCAAAAGCGGCCATGGGTCTATTAGCATAATACACAGCTGTGCTCGAGTAACCAGACACGGAAATAACGTACGCATCGCACGAGGCCAACAGCAGCCACTCTGTTACCAGCTCTTGGAACAAACGCTCCTGCTCGCGCTTTGTATCTCCCTTCTCTCCCTCCACTTGCCCGTCAACCTCCCCTGGGCTTGGAGTGGAAGAGCCATTACCAATGCTGCCAACAGAGCTGGAGCTCAGACTATTCGCATGCCGAGGTATGAAGTCGGTAGTGATAACCTGGCAGGGTCAGCGGAAGAAGAGAGCGAGGAAGAAAGAAGGTGGAAAGAAGAGGAGAATAGCAGGTTTTCAGGGCAGCGTGATACATCAATAACCACGCGCGTCATTCCCAGAAAAGAGCCTTGGAAATGGCCGCCAAGAGCGTCATTCTTAGAAGAGAGCCTTGGCAAGGGCAGCCGAGAGCTGGCTCTCCCACCTCCCTTCTCCCCCCTGGTCCCTCTGTCCTCCCTCCACTGCACCTTCCTTCCCACCAGTGATACACCCCCACCCCCCCCCCCCCCCCCCACCCCACCCCCCCCCACCCCTCCACACACACACACCCCTCTCACACACCTTGTAGGGAAACCTAGATTTGAGGGCAGCCTTGAGCTGCGCTGAGTTGGTGATGAGCATCCATCGCACCGCAACGGACGACGGGAACCAGTACGATTCCACACGCTGGAGGCACGGGGAAACAGGGCGAGCAAGTGGCACGGGGAAACAGGGCGAGCAGCAAGTGTCTAGGAAGGTTCGTAAGTGGACGCGAGGAGAAATGAGGGATGGCGAAGGTAGTCAGGAGGACGGAACCATATCCGCTTGCGCACCCTTGGGGTTGGAAAATGAGAGGTCCAGGGAATAACGTGGTGAGATAAGATACACGAAACCTTTCCCTGCCCAATGTTCCCACTCCCAACTTCCCCATCCCCCCTCCTCTCCACTCACCTGCGCGCACACAATCCATTTCCGGGCGCCAGCAATGAGCACGTCCACCTGCTTCGCACTGAGCTCCTTGGGCGCCCCCCTGTCGCCCGCCCACACCACCCGGTCGCGCACGCGGATGTGGATCCCCACTGTTGCCACCCGGGGCCTCCCCGCGCCTGCCTTCCCCGCCCACGACCTCCTCCGCAGGCGCCGCTCTATGCTGTGGAACAGCGCTTGCACCTCTGGCTTGGGACTGGAGGAGGGTTTGCAGGGGAGGAGAGAGAAAGCGGGGAGCGGGGAGGATGGAGGGGGAAGAGGGAGAGGGTGAAGGGTGAACGCGCCGAGGGAGAGAGTGAGAACAGAATGCAAAAAAGAGACGATAGACAGGTAGGAGAGGAGGGGATGGAAAGTGGAACAACTGTCCGAGAAGGGAATGTGTGTGATGAGTCGATTTTTGAGTCGACTCAAAAGCCAACTGTCCAAGAAGGGAACGGACTCCAATAATTCCCTTCACACACCACTCTCCTCTCTCTCTTGCCCCTTCCCTTCCTTCCACCCCTTTACCGCATGAGGAACCGCAGAGAGCATCCGAGCGTAATGAGTCTGTTTTCGAGTCGACTCAAAACTTCCCCCTTCCTTTCTTTCCCCCTTCCTTACCGCATGAGGAACCGCAACGAGCATCCGAGCGCGTATGGCAGCCGCATACCCATCGCCTTAAACCTCTCCGCCCACTCCCCCTTCGCCCTCGTCTGCAGCCACGTCAGCACGCCGCGGTTGCTCGTCATGCGAACGTTCACCGCGCCTTCCAGCTCCTTAAAAAATGGCTCGATCCGCACGAACTTATCCCGCAGCCACACCAGCACCACCTCCCCGTCGCGCGCGCGCTCCGGGACCACCCTTCCCCAGCCATAGTCCACCAACGTGAGGTTCCGCGCAGGTTCCAAAGGCACGAACGGGCCGGGCTCCCAGTTGATCATGCTGGGTTCGAAAGCTTTGGGAAGGCAGTGGTTTCGGACTATAAGCGCGCGATTGTCGAGTATAGCCACGACTAATGCGGTTACCAGCCCCGCGAGAACGTCCGCGAAGCCGCCACAGCCGTCCAACCACTCGAATGTGAGGAAACGAACGGGCGGATCCAGCCGTCCATCTGTCATCAGCTCAGCAGGCTGCTGGTCTATCCCATACGGCTTCAAAACAGGTGTCCCGAACGACACTTCCTCTTCGTTCTCCCTTGATTTCTCCGCCTGTTGCTGTGTCAAGTACGCTTTTAAGGCGCGCGCGCGTATTCGGCTGTGCAATGCGGCGTAGTCACTAGCCCAAGTCCCGCATAACCCGTGCGCTTCGGAGAAATTGAAGTCCAAAGAGCGCGGCATGCGAGTCTGTTTTTCGAGATCAGAGACAAAAAACAGATGTAGCTGAGAATTGTTAAAAAACAAATAGCGCAGCGTGCGAGTCTGTCGCAACTGACGCTCCTATCATCGGCAGATGAATGCGGGCATGAAGGAGAAAAACGCGAACGACGGAACAACACGAAGCAAATTAGCAAGGAAGCGTTCAACGGCAACGCGTGGGTGAGAGTGTGAGGGCGGAAGGAGAAAGAGGGCGGAAAGGGGGAGGGAAGAGGGGAAGGAGTGAGTAAGGGAAGGAGGTGGAGAAAGGGGGATGGATGCAGAGTACGTTTCGCAGACCTGAGGGAAAGGAGGTCGGCGACGTTCAGACCTGATGTTGCAGAGTATGTTTAGCAGTTTCCTGGTTCGGTGCTTATGGGAATAGTCGGGGCGCTTCAAAGATTCTTGATTCTTTACCTTGATGCGCTGGGATGTGGTCAACGAGGCAAACGCGAGAACGAAGTGCAGAACAACGAGCAGCCGCACAGTCGACCCGGGAAACGCCATTATCCAGAGTGTATCTGGTTGTCCAAAGTGTGTGCTAGATGTCGCTGAGTCAGATGTCGCGCTGCGTTAGATGTCGCGGAGAGAGAAATATTGAACACGGAAGGCTGGCGAAAAAAATGCTCTGGGACTCCAGGATGAGAAGGGGATTTCGACATCGAGAAGAGTCAACGTTGGATTACTTTCAGGCTCCGTCGAGTTGGGCTGACGTAGCAGAGATGCGATGCGAGGTGCTCACTCGCTCTTCACTGACATGTGATAAGACGGATGATAAATAATGCCGCCTTTTCCCAGCCTCGACATCCAAAACGTTTCCCTCCTGCACACTTCTGGGCATGGATCCTGTGCAGACAAAGTTTCTGACAAAACCTGCGTCGCGTCGCGGGAAATTTGTTGCCTCCACACACGACTGTGTCCAACAAATGATACTCGGTTCGATGAGATTGTTTGCGTTCCAGAGCGTTCACAAAAGCTTTGCCGTCCTTCACTCGCGATTTGGGTGGGTAACCTTCTGACACAACCAGAGCGTCTCGGAGAGTCCACCCAGAACGAGGCGTACAGTCGGTGCCCATTTCAAGAACACCAGGTAGGCAGGCGGCATGTGCAAAAGTGTTCAAAGCACTTCGCCAATATCGCCCTTGTCGCCACGGGCAAAAATGTGACAGTAATATGAAATTACAACGTGAATCAAGTCAAGGGCTTCGTAACCAGGCTAAGTTCTCTGATGACGGGCAACCGTTGTTGTTTATGAACTGTAGATGTTTTTTCTTCCTCAACTTGGTGACTGTACCCCAAAATCGGCACAATGGTCAATTTAGTCACTCACGGGCAAAACGTTCGCGTGTGACTAAATTTCTAACTAAGAAGAGCAAATGTTCTGTAATAGGCTGAGCATCGACTGTACTCGTCTTCAACATCAGTCACATACACATCCCATTACTGGAAACGGAAGTTTTGCATTTCGCATCAGACTTTTACTCTGAAATTTCAGATTTTTTTTTACCAAGTCTGATTGATTAGACAGAATATGTGTACTAAGTCTGATGAATCAGACAACCCAAAAACGAATCTGAGGGCCTGGTCACACACACCCATTCATGCCAAAACAGT